GAGGGGGTGGTTATTTTAAAGGCAGAGACAGGATCACCTGAGAGGTTCGAGGAAGCTGAGGGCTGAGACCGGTGTCCCGGGAGGAGTGGGTTCTCCTGGGGGAGCGGACTGTAAAACCTGCTGTAAAATAAAAGGTTAAACGAGCTCCCTTAGACTCAACCTCGAATGCCCGTTTCTTCGTTGAAAGAGGCGCGTGTGCCTGTGTGTGTGTGTCTATGTGTGTTGCCTTTTTAATTTTACTGAAAGAGGTCTGAGATAAACTCCTTTGCAAAGCGGAACCCTCCACATATTCCTTGCCTTTAATAAGGATGTTTGCTGTGGAATTTGGGCTCAGTGCTGTTGATATTATTCTGTTTCCTTCACACCAGGCACCTCTCCTAGAGGACTGAATGAAATAACTTGGGGTAAAGGTCCTAAGGGCTCACTTGGTTCGTTTATTGAAAGTCTGTTTTGTGCCAGGTACCGTGCTCAGTGCTAGGCTTATAGGGAGGACGGAACAGACACAGTAGCTACCCTGGAGGGCTCTATTCCAATGACTTGCTGATCTGCACGGGAGCCCCGGTCTTGTTTTGATTGGTTCCTTTTAGGCTTTGTTCACACTCTTTTTGTGTCTCCTATAATGTTTAGCATAGTGCCATTGATCAAAATTATCAAAAGTAATTTACTACAAGGTGTGGGGGCAGAAAATGAAAAGAATCATGCAGGACACGTTGAAACAGCACCCGGGTGAGCGGGATCCACAGCCGCGCGCCAGGAGTTAAAGGGACGAGAGGGGCGGAGCCAAGGCTGGGGGCGGGCCTGAAAGCTCCTCCGCCATAGGCTGTTCCAAGGAAACGTTATTAAACAAAGTCTCTGGCCAATAGAGCTTCGGGGTCAACGCCAGTGGCTCGCAGGCCGTCCAATGGGAGAAGACGTTGGAGGTACCCGGCCAAGTTCAGCTTCCCGAGCTGCGGGGAGCTTGGCGGGTGGTTGCTGCAAGCCGGGCGTAGGCTGCAGAGGCCGCGAGTTCAGGCCTTCTGGCTTTCGTGTGGCTGTCGCGATGTTTTTCTCCCAGGCCGGGGCCCGGCCGCGGAGGTGGGAAGCCAGCCAGTCGGAACACAAGAAGTGGGTGGAAGTAAGTGTCCGGAGGGCTGTCTCGGACTTAAACTTGACCCGGGACTTTCACTTCCGTCACCCCGCCTGGCTCTCACTCAGCTTTGTTGCACAGATAGGGGCTGGACTGTCCTTCCGAAGTGTCATGGTTAATGACCGAAACTAGGAAGGCTTCTGGATCCCTGTCCAATGTTCTACTTCCAACTCCTTTTTTTCTCCGCGACATAGTCTGTGTATAACAAGCTGTAATCTCCATCTCTCCTCCCGCCTTTCAAAGCCAGCCCTTTTGCCTCACCTTCCCAATTCTGAGATTGAATTTTCGGTAGAATTTATCCGAATGGTTTAAAGGAATTAACCCAGCGATTAAGTCGTTTGCACTTTTGGGGGGGGTAAATTTTAGCACATTAAGATTTCTTTTTCTTTTTGGCCCTGGGGGCAGCATTCAGGATCTTAGTTCCCCAGCCAGGGGTAGAACCCGTGCCCCCTGAAGTGGAAGCTCGGAGTCTTAACCACTGGTTCTCCAGGGAAGTCCCAGCAGATTAAGATTTCTTGAGGATTAAAATTAGGGTAATGAAATTCCATTTCCCAGCCCTTGGGAGGTCTAAACTTAATATAAGTTAGTAATAATAGAACAAACGGTTTCTGTCTTATTAACTAAAGATATTTGCTGTTCTTTAGGTATTTAAAGCATGCGATGAAGAAAACAAAGGCTATCTAAGCAGAGAGGACTTTAAAGTTGCTGTTCTAATGCTGTTTGGATACAAGCCTTCCAAGGTAGAACTTTCTTTTGTATTTGGGGACTGGGCTGACAATACAATAGTGGATGGGTTCTAAATAAAGTGCAGAGGGCTAGCTTAGGATGTTTATGAAGCAAACCACTGCCTTTTGAGCAATTTCAGAGATGTGTCCAGTGCTGAATTTTACTTTTGTCTTAAGAATCCAACTCAGGAATGAATTAGAATCCATCAAGATTAAGTCACCAGGCTGCTAATAATATTAAGTATTATTGAGATGTATTAAGTATTATTGAGTATTATGAGATGCTAGTGAGGTTCCAAGAGGGAAGCCTGGGAGTGGGATGTTGGTAACAGAAGGAATTCACAGAGGAAGTGACATGCAGGATTTTTTTTTTTTCTTAAATTGAAAAAAAATTTTGCTCCATTTAAATTATGAAAATAATGCATTTACATAGTCAAAAAATTAAAATGGTCCAGAAAAGTATAAAGTTGGGTGTAAAATCCCCTCCCTCCCTACCAAAGGGTCCCACTCCTCAGGAGTTACCATTATTAACAGTTTCTTGTGTATCATCCCAAAATTTCCTATGTATTGACAAACACGCCTAGCATTGTATTGAAAAGTGGGTGCATAGTATGCCTATTTTAGTTTAACTTGCTTTTTTCACTTCACAGTAGAAGAACATAAAAGCACACACACCACATTAAAAAAATAGTTGCTTAGTATTCTCTTTAGCTACTTTCCTTGTTTTGGTCATTTCAATTGTTTCTATTTTTCATTCCTACAAATATTGTTGCTGCCGTGAGCATTCTCTTATAACTATATCTCTGCTTGTGGATATATCTGTGGAATAAATTCCTAGAGATACAAGTGCTAGGTACATTTGAAATTTTGTTGGGCATTGCTCTCCAGGAAAGGTTGCACTAATTAAGGAGAGTTGAGCTGAACTTCAGTGAATCTCCCTTTTTAGTAGGACAGGTTTCCTATGCCTCCTGTCCTTGTGCTGCTCCTCTTGTCCTTTACATCCATTCTAGTGATGGATCCCTCTTGTTAAGCTGCTGAACTGGAATTAATCAGGGGCAAGATCTTGGCCCGGTTTAAGAAATTCAGCTGCAGGCATCAAACAGAGGGAGCACTCAGGGCTCTGCCTGGAATGTCATCCCTCCCAGACAAAGTGGCTGGGCAACTGCTTTGGCCCAATTGTTCCTTATGAGTGGGCTCTACCTGTCTGTCAGATTGCGGGCCCTGTAAAGCCAGGGACCACATGATGTCCCACTTCTCTGTTCTTCATTATGCTTAAATGTATTACAACTTCATTGTTAATACATTCTGTTGATATAAATATGTCCCATGAACCACCCAGGTAGGTTCAACTGCTAGGAGTTGCTTAGTTACTGAGAGGTTGATTATGGAGCTTCAGGGCTGGCTCCCAGAAATTGCAGCTCTCCTGTTAACCTGCAGTCATTTCAGCTGGAATTCCAGAGCAGGTCAGCTAAGTGGACTCAGCTTTCGAAGCATTGAATTTAACCCAGGTTCAGCTGGAAAGATATCTGGTCTCATTCTACCTTTATCACCTTTGGATCTACTTACTTGATTTTAATTTTAGAACATGTAAGTGAGGAATTTAATGACAAGTACAGAGATGTGGTAACATACATACATACACACCATCAGATTTAACCGATTTTTACTTTTGGTTGGGGTTTTGGATTTTATTTTTTAATCAAAGGAAATGCTTGTTTACTGCAGATCGCTAAACAATGAAATACGGATATAGCAAATCACCTATACACTTAACAATCATTTGTAACAATCATGAAGTTTTATTAAGTGACACTTAATGTATTACCTCTGTGAAATTTAACAGATTTTTCCTCTTATAATAGGTTGAGGTTTGGGATTTTTTTTTTTTTGGGTGTACATTGAACATTTATTACAACTAATTGGTGATGTGATAAGATGTGCTCACGTGGCCTGAATATTGGTCACAATCACAACAAAGCTTAATCCAGCCCAGCAGATACAAATGAAAGTGTAAACTGTGAAGATATGTTTACATACATAGAAGTATGTATAAAAGTGACACTGAAACAACTGTATATCCTTAAAAAACGTAGAGCCCACTAGTGCCATTTTACCTCTTTCAACTTGGGGTTTTATTTTTAAACATTGCTTTTCAGCAAACGAAATATTTACTGAATGCAGGTCATGAAGCAGTAAGGCACTAAAATAATAAATCACTTCTGCATTCATGAAAATGTTTACAGAATGAAATTTATTGTGTTCCCATTTAATAAAAGGAGCACTTGCTAGTTGCTAGAAATATAAAGGTGAATAAACATAGACCCTACTTTGAAATAGTTCACAGTTTAGTGTAGAGAGACTTATAATACTCTGATAAATACTAAGATAGAGAAGAGATTAAGAACAGAAAGGGAGGAGGGCAAGGAGAAGGGTCTAATTCTGTGGTAACTTTAATAGGAATCTGGGCATCATTTAGAGCAGCGGAGGTAGACTCTGATATGAAGTGTCTGGGAGCTCTTTGTGGTGGTGGGAGAAGTTATGCCTTGGTGATTCATGGTTGCATGTGGTGGCCGTATCAGAGTGATGTGACAACAGGACTAAAGGGATAAGAAAATAAGAAAATTCAGAAGGAGTAGGTTTGGGGGAAAGGCAGTGAGTTCGGATTGGGGCATATTAAGTTCGAGGAGGCTAGAAGCACCCCAAGTGCATTCCTTTTTTAAGTGCTGTGCTGGGTGTTGAAGTGATGGTGGTAAAGATCTGCTCTCAGATTGTGCCACCTCCCTTAGATGTAGGAATCTGAAGTTGGGTGGAGAGGTGAGGGCTAGAGATAGATTTGGGATTCCTCACAGGTGGTAGCTCAAAGCATGAGACTGAGGTGGCATTGCCCAAAAGGAGTATGTGGAGTGTGAAGGGCAGTGTCCTGAAGGGAGAACATGGGGGGCGTACCCACAATTAAGGGTCGGTGGGGACTCCATGAAGAAGATGCACTGGGAACTGGTTGTCTGGGAGGGACAGGAGGAACCAGGGAAGAACCAGGGAAGTGCCAGCTTCTCCAAGGTGGAGAAGCTACATCAGATGTTGCCAAGATTCTAATTCCATGATGTTTATAAAGCTCTCTTAACAATTTGGGAAAATGCTTATGTTTTATTATTTAGTGAAGGCAGGTCCCCGAACTTAATATGTAGCGTATTCTCAAATATGTTTAAAAATGCATGGAGGGGGAAAAAAAAGCTGTACTAGGCCTAAATGTTAACAATGGTTTTCACTGGATGGCTGGTTTTTTAGATGTTTTTCTTCATAATTAAAAAATATTTTTCATGTTTTCTACATCATGTTACTATTACAGTCAGGAAAAAAAATTTAAACCCATAGAGCCCATTGTAACAATTGCTTGTATTAGGTTATTCTGTATATGTGACAGTCAAGTTGATTCTATATGATAAACTGTTTTGGTCAATGCAATTAAATTTTGGGGGCCATCAGAGTCTGTAGTAGATCAGCATCTGGTATCTTATTAATAGAAGAGAAAAATGACTATTATAGCTGTCCTGTGATGTTACTTGTCTGCTGGATTCAACAAAGTTGGTTTCTCATAAAATACATTCCTTCCCCGCACCCCAGGAATTAAGAACTTGTACTGTGAAAACATTTGATGAAATTGTATATCCTATGCTTTTTTCTTTTCTAGATAGAAGCTGATGCTGTGATGTCCTCAGTAGATCCAAACACTTCCGGTAATGTGAAAGTTAATTTTTAGTACTCTTATTTAGACATTCATGAAACTACAACTAAGAACAAATATGAGGCTATAAAGCATTATGTTTAAGCAAACCTTTGTTTTGTTTCTGATTACCCAAAAAGAACGAGGTTTGGTTCTTTTAATTTTAGTTAATTAATGTATTCATAAGTGTATGTTTATTGTAGGAAAATTTTAAACCACTGAAAAGCATAAAGAAAAAATGTTGCTGATAATTTCAACATCCCGCGGATGATCTAGGTTTTCTGACTTGAGCAGCTGAGTGAGTGGAAGTGGCACTTCCTGAAATGGGAAGACTCGGCGAGAAGATTTAGGGTTTGGGGAGTGCAAGAGTTCAATTTTGAATATGTTGAGTTTGAGAGGTTTTGGTCAGTGATGTCAAGGCAATTGAGCTGTATGAGTATGGAATTCAGAGGAAAGATCTGGGCCACAGATGGTTTTGAAGCCATGGGAGTGGATGAGATGGTTTTTGGATGGTTTTGAAGCCATGGGAGTGGATGAGATCCCTTGAGGGAGAGTGTAGATGGAGACCCGTAGGAACTATAACCATTAAAAGTCAGGTAGGGGATGAAGAGAGATGGCAAAGGAGACTTAGGAGGAGCAGAGGGGCCAGAGGAAAATCAAGAGTATTTGATCAAAAGCCAAGAGAAGTGACTGTTCCAGGGAAGAGGTGTGGTCAACAGTGTCCAATGCTGTTGAAAGGTTAAGTAGCAAAAGAACTGAAGAGGATCTGTGGAGCTGGCAACCCGGGGGGTGTCGGGTGATTTTAGGAAGAGCAGTGTCACCACGTCATGGGGGCAGAGGCCAGGCTGCAGTGGTTTGAAGATAAAGGGAAAGTGGCAGAGTGACAATGTGAGTCTTTCAGTGGGTCCAGTAGCTGTGGATCAAGAGCTGTTTGCTTTGCTTTTGTTTGCCTTTTTTTGGAACATGAAGAAGATGTTTCTAAGCTTGGCAGAATGATCTAGTGAAGAGGGGAAAGGCAAATGAGACAGAGAGATAACTATTGTTGGAGGAGATAGGGTCCAGAGCATGCTGAATTGGCTTTTCAAAAATTACTTTTTGGGGGGATGTAACTTAAGGCTTACAGAAAGTTGCAAAATAAAAATAGTACAGCGAATAGCTGTATACCCTTTAGCCAGATTCACTTACTGTTCATATTTTACCCCATCTACCTTCTCTTCTGCACTTTCTGCCTCTTCTCCATCCTCTCGCTGAGCTGTCCATAACCACAGCACACCCATTCATAAGTTTATATCGATACTTGTCTTTATCTGCTTTACTGTCTGTATTGCAATGTTGTCACTTGATATAATTATGTCCTTATTAGCATCTTTCCTCATTTAATACAGGAATTAGTCCTTGGTATCATGTCTCTTTAGCCTCCTTTAATCTGGGATATTTCTAGAGACTTTTTTTTTTTTTTTAAAGAAGATGTTGGGGGTAGGAGTTTATTTATTTTTGCTGTGTTGGGTCTTCGTTTCTGTGCGAGGGCTTTCTCTAGTTGTGGCA